GCAACATTCCATAAGATGTCATTCCAAATATGGGAAATAATTTCAGAACCTAGCACCCCATTTTCAAAAAACAGGGCTGGGCAGCATGAGCCAACACAGGGGATTGTAGCAACCGGACTGGGATCTGTAATGTGTTGTTCCAACTTCCAGGTTTTTAAAATACAATAAATTTCTAGATATTTATTTACTCTTATGTTATCTAAAAAATGCTTTTAATGTGTATTTCGTCTAAGGAGTGATTTAGCGCCATGATTCATCCCTTCCACGAACGCTTGGCTTGGAGATGTCCATTGCCTTAGGCGAACGTCATCTCCCAGCTTGTGGCCTTGCCTCCTAGTTTTTTTTCTTACTGTACTAAGCTGCAAAAGCATTTTTACTGATTGTTTTAACTCGTCACAATACTCCAAATAGAAGCAACAATAATAAGATCGCTCCTTTTATGTTTTCTGCAGAAAGTAGCCTCCATGTTTCTTAAATCTGGGTACTGTTTTGTACAGAGGCTTTCATCTATGGAGAAGCAAATTGATGGAGAAACAAAACATACTCAAAAGCAATCTTTTTCAGGTACATACTCTCTATTGATTGAAGAATACGGGCAAGGTTGTTGCAAAGATTTTTCCATATGTATGGTTCACATTCCATGGTTTAATTTGCAGATTGATATTTCATTCATTTTGATTTCTGCACATATTCATATTTCCATATATTTACATGATTATATGATTGAGATGACTGAGTCATCAACTGTCCAATAGCTGAAATGGAACTTCCAGGCACCTATTTCAGATCTCATTTCCTAGTTGCAGCTAATCTAGATCAGGATTAAGGTTTAAGGTTCATGATCCATCTATAAGAGAGGTGTAATACCCTATGCTCTTATCAGTTTATACTATTATTTCCACACCTGTGTCCAAATATATCCATTGATTAATTTCGATACAAGTTTTTAATATTACGAGATCATGCTATCTCCAGTATGCTCAAGAACATCTTATATGTACCTAGACATTTTTATTCCAGCGTATTGAACATTAAAAGCCTTTTACTAGTAGCAATGCACAAGAAATGTAGGTTCTGTTATAACAATTAACAAGATAAAGATATGTCAAGGAGCTTCTGTCATGGGCCATACTGTATATCATCTTAATTCAATTAAACTTTTTACTACTTGCTTCTTGGAACTTCCTATTTTCTTATTATATGTTCAAGCATATGGTACTGGTGACAAGCCTTCCCTGACCCTCACTAGTTATCTTTATGTGACTTATAATTGTAAGCAGTACACACCAGTCTAAAGTGCAGCACAAATCCATATAAACGACTTTGAAACTGTGATGTCAAACAGGTTCTTACTGTATCACATAGAGATAATGGTCCTAGTTCTTGCAATCTTACTTTTAACAATTGACACTTGACATGAAATGTACAACTTCAATGAGTCTATCCTTTTTTTTAACAGCTCAATGAGTCCATTTGGTGCAGGTGGCTAATTTGAAACAGAAGCTTACAGTCCAAACTATGATTGAGTGACATGAGGTTCTGTTTTTGCATATAGTTGAAGAACTTATCTGTTATTAGATGTGCACTTCTGTTTTGGTGATCGGATCACTGTATGCTAATTATAAACGGATTTGTGTATGAAATATATGTGATTTAGTAGAACTATGATTAATGTAATGTATGTAACGTAATACTTGTGAAATGGATCAACTGTGAGAACTATTTATATCATTTTTATTTTTTTTGTTTATCCAATTCTATATTCCTGGCGGTTCAGCCCCGACAGGGGTGTTATATTTCCTGTCGGCCACCCGACAGGAATAACCTTCCTGTCGGTCTCCCGACAGACATATTTTGCTATCCCTGTCAAGCTATGGCTGACGGCTATTCCTGTCGGTTGACCGACAGGAAATATTATTCCTGACGGTTTTCCTTATTTCCCTGTCGGTTTTTGGCACACAGAAAAATTCCAGTTTTTGGTAGTTACGTCTGCAGACTTCCGTGGCCACGGTTGGCCGTAACCCTCATACGTTTTAGACTACTAAGTGGCTTGTTTGGTAAGCAATCAACAAAAAATGCAATCATACGTTCTAGACTTGCATGACCAAGGTTGGTCGATTAACACATGGACAGAGGTGTGCACGACTATTTAATAGTCTGAAATTACGCGTGATTAGAATGATGTCATTTTGGATGCAAGATATTAATTTGTCTAACAAACCCGACTGATGAGTCAGCCGTTAAATCTCAATTTCAAGTGGAACATGTCGCATGTTCATCCATGTCATACTTGTGCAACATGTAACAATAAAGTTTGCATGCCAACTAGCACCAGCTTTATAAAGCCGTGCCATCAACTATTTTCAGCCTCTCTAGCTATGACCCTGAAGGGGTCCCGGAGAGGATTTGTAGGACGCAGGTCCAGGCGCACGCGAATCATGTGTCGTTGATCCGCACCAAAATTCGCGACATTGCTTATGTATTCACAGAGTTCCATTTTCGTTTATCTATGTAATGCCGCCATATATCATTCAGATATACCAGTTGGTGTAGGGCCTGAAACCTATTACGTGGGGTCCGCTGAAAGCCGAAAACGGGAAGGAAGGAACAAATATAGAACGGACGGGGAAACATAATTCATTAAGCTATTGTTGTGTTGTTCTTCTTACTTATTGTTTGTTCATATGTTTCTGTTCCTCGAAAAAGAACATGCATCCAGGTGTAACCACTGTTTCGATCGGAGGGCTTCGAAGATATGAACACCTGCAGCAGCATATTCGTACAAAAAGGTACATATTCGTTTGAATATGTTGGTTTTCATATGTAAAGGCAAGAGATAATCTTCTATATTGACAGATTGAAGGGTGTAAAGGCAAGAGATAATCTTCTATATTGACAGATTGAAGGGCTTCAAAGATATGAATGCCTGTAGAAGTATGCTGCTACAAAAAGGTACACATTCATTTGAAAAGGTTTGCTTTGTTATATATTTGGTTAAGATCCTGTCTTGTCTAGTTGGGAAATATCATCGTTGATATTAATCCTTCTTCCTTGTTGTTGTTGTTGTTGTTGTTGTTGTTGTTGTTGTTGTTGTTGTTGTTGTTGTTGTTGTTGTTGTTGTTGTTGTTGTTGTTGTTGTTGTTGTTACCGCTGGTTATCCCAGAACAACTTTTCTGTTCGACATATTAAGTTTGTCTAATACTTAAAGTAGGATGAACTAATCTTAGGATGCAGGTGGAACCAACGGCAGTAGATATATGTGTCTAAAATGTGTTTAAACAAGTTACAGTTATTGAAACTCTATTTTCTGAAGGTTCATTGGCAAGTTACTAGTAAGGCAATGCAATTGAATTAAAGAATCTTGGAAATCCTTGCAAACTACATATTATTATACCTATTTGTGTTTTTTGCCGGGAATACCTATTTGTGTTCTACCCATATGTAGCACTTTGTAATGCAATGCTATCTAATTGAGTAGTTCAATCCCTCGTCCCTCAAATTGAGTGTGTGAATTTATAAGTTGATGTAATCGTACGGGGACTATCCTAAAGTTGCTCTAAGTATATTTTTTGTTCTATAGATAGATCATGTTGTTTATTTATAAACAGAGCAAGTCATATTGCACAAGATCCACATGACAAAATTGTGAGCGATGATTCTCAGTATCGCACACAGTTCGTCTAATTCAATTGTGTGCCCATCAAGCATAGAATTCTTAGCAGACAATCCTAAGTGTTATCACGAGTTAGCACACACGAGTTGCCTTTAAGAAACCATGTCCGAAACTTCGCACATGGTGCACATATTATTTAACATGTGATGCTCCCCATCATGATAAACAAATCGTTTATTTAAATTGTTTGCCAATCAACACACATGATTTGAGCAGTTCAATCGTGCGCGTTATCCTTACTTATCACACGCATGTCCTTCAACTGAACTGTGTGCCCTATATTATACACGGTTCCTTTTTTAAATCATACTTGATGGATCTACCATCGCACACACACGTTTCTTTTTTGGAAACATTAACGTACACACGTATGATAATATTGCAACTCACCCACGCGTCTGGATCACCGTCCAGTTAAGTTTGCACAAATCTTGACACACTGAGACAGTTTTCGCGTGCCACGTAGGATAAGACCGGTGTGTGGGCGTTGGAGAGGTCGCCCACACGCCCCACAGCACGTGGTTGCCAGCTGTGCTGTGTGGGAGAACTAGTTTCTGCCCACACAGCCACCACCTAGTCCACGCGCGTGTTGGCGAACTGCTTTTCGCCCACACGACAGTCGTATGTTGTTGGATGGCAACTGCAGTTGCGCGTACATGACAACTAGGCAAACACACATGGCAACTATGATTCATTTGCTCGATGGCAATTGCAGTTGCACGTATGTGGTAATCAGATAAACATACATGGCAATTGTGATTAACCACATATGGCAACTATTGTTTGACCATATGTGACAAGTAGTTAATCACACATGATAACTATGGTCTGTTTACACACGACAACTATCATAAATTACACATGACAACTATAGTTAACCAAAACAGAGAGAGTTGCCATGCTTTTATAACCATATTTGCCATCCCGGATAACTACATCTGCCATTCCGGATGGCAACTAAACCGTCATCCAGCGGGTACCTAATGTAGCTGCGCCAGGACGTGTGGAGATTTTGCTTCGTGCCACACGCGGGGTGGGGATGAGTAGTACTTGTTGGGCGTGTGGCATGAAGTAGCTACGTCCACACGTGTGGGCAATTCTATTGTTCGCCGACACACAACCCATGTGGACTGTCCCCTACTTATGCCACACACGGTGTGTGGATGAATGCCTATTATGTCGCACGTGTAGTGGATATTGGTGTCCTTCTTCTTTTAATGTGTCCATCACACATTGTTCGATGTCGGGTGTGTGATAAGTGTGTCTTAATTGCACTAGTCTACATTTGTATTTGTGTAAGACCGTTTTATCAATCATTGTACATGTCTTAAGTGATCACGACGGGCACGGCCTTGAGTGGGACAGCCATCACATTTGCAGTGGTAAATCTCTCGCTCACGTCCAACTCCGTGGGGGAAACGCCATCCGGTAGCCGCCACTCGAATGCGTGCAGCAGCGAGGCCAGGATGAACGGCACCACGCGCTCCGCCATCGGCACGCCGGGGCACAGCCGCCGGCCGGACCCAAACGGGATGAACTCGAAGGCCTTGCCCCGGAAGTCCACCACCTGGTCTGCCTTGCCCAGGAACCTCTCCGGGACGAACTCGTGGGGTCTCTCCCACGCCGCCGGGTCCCGCATTATCGCCCACGCGTTGAAAATGACCGTTGAGCCGTTCGGCACGGCGTAGCCGCCGATCTCCACGCCTTCCTCCACGGCCCGGTGTGGCAGCAGTATCGCCGCCACCGGGTGCAGCCGCATAGCCTCCTTTACCACGGCTTGCAGGTACGGCAGGCTCGCCGCGTCGGTCTCGCCGATGGTCTCCTTGCCGCCAAGAGCATCGTCTATCTCCGCGCGGACCTTTGCCATGACGCTTGGGTTCCGAAGCAGCTCCGCCATTGCCCACTCTAGGGTGATGGACATGGCGTCGCTCCCGGCCGCAATGACCTCGAACACTATGGTTGTCAGGCTGTCGCGAGCCATCTTGCCTGTGGACAAGAGCTCGAGGAGCGAGTCCAGGAAGTCACCTTGCTTCTCCGTGGAGGCGTTGGCAGCTGCCATGCGACGGTCAATTATGCCATCCAATATGAGGAAGATTTTCTCGAAGCGTATCTCCGTCCAGCGACGCCATCCTTGCAAGTCGAGGGGTCCAAGGAAAGGGAAAAGATCGGAGACATTCGGCTTCGCGATCACCTCGATGAGGTCCTCAACGAGCTTCCGCACCCCCTGGGCCGACTGGCCGCCCATGTCGACCACGTCGACGGAGCAGAACGAGCTCGACACGAGGTTTAGCACGCCGCCGTACAGTGCCTGGCCGACGTCCAACTCTGTGCCGGCGCAGTCGCGGAAGTAACTCACCATGTCCCGCACCTTACGCTGGCGGACGTCGAGCGCCACGGCGAGGCTGCGCGGGGAGAAGACGTTGGTGGCCACGATGCCGCGCAGGCTCTTCCAGAGCGGGTCGGAGCTGGGCAGCCATATCATGGACCGGTCGGAGAAGCCGAGCGCGCGGGCGGCGTCCGGGATGGCGCGCGCAGCCAGGCGCCGGTCGTGCTTCGCGAATGCCTCCCAAGCCGCGTCGCGCGAGGACACGATCACGGCGGTGGTGAGGCCGAGCTTGAGTGTCATGACGGGGCCGTAGGTGCGAGCGAGGCGCGCGAGGGTGTGGTGGAGGTTGCCGCCGAGGCTGAGCACGTTGCCGACGAGAGGGAGCGGCGTGGGACCCGGTGGCATCCGCCCCGTGCCCGCACGGCGTGTGTGTGCCAGGCAGTAGAGGAGCGAGACGACCGCGAGCGTCGGCCATAACAGCCAAAGCACGATCTCCATTCGCTGGTTCGTGTGGTGCGGGTTGCTGAGGTGAGAGTCCGTCGTGGTATATTTATACCTGCTGGTATCTGCATCTAAGCGATATACGATGCACAACCCTGCCAGTGTACGTTGATTGAGGTTGCAACCCTGTATTCTCTTCTACCTATCAATGAAAAGATACACTCTTAAGTGTGTTCACGAAAAAAAAAATGTTGCACAACGGGTCAAGTCCGTATCACCGCGGAACAACTGCAACGTCCCGATGTGATCTATCTACTTGGTAATTCATCTGGTGACTTCACGGTCGCCAAAGAAGCTCCAAGTAGCATCAAACATTTCCGATGAGATCTATGGAGCTATTTTTCAAGAATACTTTTAATTTATTTATCTTTAATCATGACAGTACAACAAACGCTATAAATAATAAAAATTACATCCAGATTCGTAGATAACCCATCGATGATGTCACGGTGTCATATCGGAACTGTTGATACCCTGCTTTTTTCGTTGTACAATTTCTACTTTTTTTCGGGTTTGTACAATTTCTACTTGACGTGTTACATAAGCTAGACTTCAAAAAAAATATGAACACAAGCTGGACTTAATTTTGGTACACTGTTCAGCGGGGAGTGGTGGTTTAGTCAAAAACTACCGGTGAGACACGGAGCAGAAAAACCTTGCCGTTTGCTGACCGGAGGGTTGAATTTTGACAAAAGAGTAACAAAGGAATGGCGAGGGCAGTCAAGAATATTTTCTGGTCTTTGGCTCCAGGAATAATCAAGTTTGCTTTGCTTTCTACGTTCGGTGAGAAAGCATTCGTGCTTCGCGATATAACCAAAATATCGGCCTACACCCGTTATGCTTTTACCGCTGTTAGGAGTAAATTTTTTACATTCATACTACAGTTAGCGCTAACTTGGATGACCTCACATCAACCCATCAATTTTTTGAATACAAATCGGTATTTTCTTAGGAAGTTTCAGGAAGAAATTAGAATAAAGTAATATAGATTCATACAAAGGAAAATGTTCTCTATCGATGCTAACGTTATACCTAGAGGATAGGAATATAGAAAGAGGGAAAATCAAAATGAAATAAATTAAGAATAAAGCTATAACAAACAAGTCAAAGATAAAAGAGCTCGGGAAACTCGAAAACAATCCTTCGGATTCTCAAAGAATAAGGGGCAATGGGATTGATACCGAGAAATATTTCTTATTATTATAAGATGTGATTTGAACTGCATATGTTTGGCAATAGAACAAACTTCTCCTTTAATCATATCATAACTGGAAAATGTTCAATTAGAACATGGAAACGCTACTCTATTGGTCTTCGTTAGTATTCGGGGTGGAATGGAAGGCGAAGGCTCTCAAATGAGGAAAAGGATTCGTTCGAAAGAATTGACCGAGGAGCCGTATGAGGTGAGAAACTCATGTACTCTTCTATAAAGGGACAATAAGGGAGACTTATGTATTGACATTTCCACTATCACCCCCCCCCCCCAAATCCCAACGGTTGCTTACATAATGTTTCCAGAGTATGAGTAACCTCTGGATTGTAATCACTGCTTATATCGCTGGTATTGGGCCATAATTTACAACCACATAGTATTAGCAAGAGGAGGAAGAGTTAGGCTTTATCCGATGTGAGATGTCACATTCTTCAAGTGTTGTCGCAATAAACAATCGTCAACCAGGGCGTTCTAATGCATTGTATATTCTTATTCAAGACATGTATCATTTGGTGATGCCATATGAATCACTAGAAACATGTGAAGTGCATGGCTAACCCAATAACGAAAGTTTCGTAAGCCGATTGGAGCAGGCTACCATGAGACAAAGGATGCGGAAGATTTCAGCCTTCTCCACGTTTCCTCATTAATATCCTCAGGTATTTCAATAATAATCAGCTATTTTGACAACCACAATTATGATGTCTGAATTTAATATTGCTTTCCCACATGTCAATCACTCCTCCATCCTTAAGGCTTGGTCATAATGGGAGTAACATAGATAGTAATATAGATGCCACATAAGCAAAAATGATGAGACAACAAGTAGTTAAGGAGGAGAGATGTAAATAGAGTAACATAATATGTTACCATCACATAGCGCTTCTCAATGCAAAATGAATCTACAAAGTAGTAAATGAAGATATCCATGTTACCATGCATACGACACTATCCACTATGAAGATAGTAATGTAGACTAGTAACATATGCATGTTACTAGTCTAAGTTATTCTCCACTATGAACAGCCTAAGACCGCCTTTTGCAAAGAAGAGGATCATTGAGAAGCCATCACGCACACTCTTATCCGTGCAGACATGTTCATAAACAGTGTTCATTGAGAAGCGATCATGAAGACTATTATCCCTACCGTTATGGCGCCGTATGGCCCCGACATCTTTAGATTCAGATAAACGTATTGCGGGACGGCATGAAAAAGAGCAAAGATTGTTCTCCTGATGAGTGTGTGCTAGTCGCTCCTCCAAAGGACAATGTCGAAGGTTAACTCTTTGTTTCGAAACATTCAGGTGTTCCGAAGACTACATCTAGAGTCACCATTCCCGAGCATTGTGCTTCAACTCTCGGTATCATACCCTTGAAGGAGGTATTACTAGGCTTGATTCTTGCTAGGTCGATATGCATTTTCATGGCAGTTGCTACTTCTTGAGCTTGCGTTGGTTTTTCTCTTGAAGAGGAAGGGTGATGCAACAAAGTAGAGTAAGTATTTCCCTCAGTTTTGAGAACCAAGGTATGAATCCAGCAGGAGACAACGCACAAGTCACCGAATACCTGCACAAACAAACACCAACTTGCACCCAACGCGATAAAGGAGTTGTCAATCCCTTCACGGTTATTTGCAAAGTGAGATCTGATAGAGATGGATAAACGGTAAAGTAATATTTTTGATATTTTTGGTTTATGGAACGGAAAATAAAAGATTGCAAAGGAAGTAAATAGGAAACTAAAATTGTAGATCGGAAACTTATATGATGGAAAGTAGACCCGAGGGCCATAGGTTTCACTAGAGGTTTCTCTCAAGACAGAAAATATTACGGTGGGTGAACAAATTACTGCCGAGCAATTGATAGAAAAGCGCAAAGTTATGACAATATCTAAGGAAATGATCATGAATATAGGCATCACGTCCGTATCAAGTAGACCGACTGCTGCCTGCATCTACTACTATTACTCCACACAGCGACCGACTCCTGCCTGCATCTAGAGTATTAAGTTCATAGAACAGAGTAACGCATTAAGTAAGATGACATGATGTAGTGGGATAAACTCAAGCAATATGATGAAAACCCCATCTTGTTCTCCTCGATGGCAACAATACAATACATGTCGGTTCCCCTTCTGTCACTAGGATCAAGCACCGTAAGATTGAACCCAAAGCTAAGCACTTCTCCTATTGCAAGAAAAACCAATCTAGTTGGCCAAACCAAATCGATAATTTGAAGAGACTTGCAAAGATATCAAATCATGCATATAAGAATTCAGAGGAGATTCAAATAATATTCATAGATAAGCTGATCATAAATCCACAATTCATCGGATCTCGGCAAACACACCGCAAAAAGAGTATTGCATCGGATAGAACTCCAAGAACATCGAGGAGAACATGGTATTGAGAATCAAAGAGAGAGAAGAAGCCATATAGCTACTAGCTATGGACCCGTAGGTCTGTGGTAAACTACTCACGCTTCATCGGCTTGGCAATGGTGTTGATGTAGAAGCCCTCCGTGATCGAATCTCCCTCCAGCAGGATGCCGGAAAAGGCCCCTAGATGAGATCTCATGGGTACAGAAGGTTGCGGCGGTGGAAAAGTGTTTTCGTGGCTATCTTGGTAGGTTTTGGAATATTTGAGAATATATATAGGAGGAAGAAATAGGTCGGTGGAGTCACGAGGGGCCCATAAGGGTGGGGGCGCGTCCTACCCCCCTGGGCGCACCCTCCGTCATTGTGGGTGCCTCGTGGCTTCCCTGACATGTAATCCAAGTCCTCTGGATGTCTTCTGGTCCTAGAAAAATCGTCGCGGAAGTTTCATTCCGTTTGGACTCCGTTTGATATTCCTTTTTTGCGAAACTCTAAAATAAGGAAAAACAGGAACTGGCACTGGGCTCTAGGTTAATAGTTTAGTCCCAAAAATAATATAAAATAGCATAATAATGCATATAAAACATCCAAAACAGATAATATAATAGCATGGAACAATAAAAAATTAGAGATATGTTGAAGACGTATCAACAGTATAGGCTGAGGCTGTTGCCACAGTCCATAAGGACTCGGGTCAGGTGGAAACCATGAACTATGGGATCGAGCACCAACGCCGATGTGCTAGCACGTTGATTAAATCCTCGACGATGACGACTAGGTGGGTGAGGGTGGGCTGAAAATTCCAGCTTCCCTAGGTTTTTCCCAGATATGATTGTTGATACGTCTCCAACGTATCTAGAATTTTTTTATTGTTCCATGCTATATTATATTCTGTTTTGGATGATTAATGGGCTTTGTTATACACTTCTATATTATTTTTGGGACTAACCTATTAACCGGAGGCCCAACCCAAATTGCTGTTTTTTTGCCTATTTCGGTGTTTCGCAGAAAACGAATATCAAACGGAGTCCAAACGGAATGAAACCTTCGGGAACGTGATTTTCGGAA